TGTGGATGTTTTTGGACAGCAAAGGCCAGAGAAGAACATGGAAGCTTCACACTCATAGAATGGAGCCAGAATTCAAACCCCAACCCTGGAGATGTGAGACCAGAGTACTCCCCACTGAGCCACCCCCTAAAAAAATAAAAGCTGATAAATAAACATTTTGCATCCACCCAGAGCTTAACCGGAAGCGTAAAAGTAGGTATGAGAAATCCTCAGGCCTAATGCACGGCCGTTTCGCGCACATTAGAAGTGTCTGGAGGAAGGAGCCATGGGTTTTAGTCTCTCTAGAGCAGTGTTTCCCAATCCGGTCCTTGGGGAGCCAATCGCAGTCCACGTTTGGGCGGTCCAATAGGGAGCTTAGAGGGAGAAAAAATGTGGCCCGACTACGGATTCCCAAGGACCGGACTGGGAAACACTGGTCTAGAGAAGCCTGATGCTTGATGGATGAGCATCAAGCCCCTGGAACTTGCCTCCACCGACTCCCCCCCCCCGACACATCAGCACATTACATCTGCAAACGCCCACACCAGACACGCGGAGGTGGGCAGTTATGCTCCACTTGGCCCCTGACTCATCTGCCAGCCCCACAAAGCCATCTCTCTTCATTTTTCCAGGAAATCATTAACTCCCTTATTTGCTGCTGAGAAGGAGCAATTTGGCAGTACTTGTGAAAAACGTTAATGATCTAAGTGGACTAGCAGTAACAGAGCAGTTAGAATGTTAGGTCCAGATTTATAAATATATGGAGTCCCCCTGCCCTCTGCTTATGCCAATGGGAGATATGAGGCATTGAGAGCCACGATGGACCTTCCCTCACCAGTCACCGCTGGGTTTATCCCAGGGGGTACAATAATGCATCCAGAAGGAAGCGGGTTAGAATATTTGGGGACAGGCGCTGCACGATAATCATACTGTAAATGGACTAGAACATGGATTTTAATAATCAACACTAGAAGCACTGCTGCTGGATTCTTGTGCTGTTTAACTTCATGCCGCTATTCACATGGCTGTTTCCTTTAGTCTGTGTTCAGTTTTATGTTATCTGGTGTCCTGTGTTGTTTTCATTAGACTTTTTTTTTTTTTTTAAATGACCAGAGAGTAGCGAAACAGTGTTTCATTGTATTGAATGTATAAAGACAATAAAGTTTCATTCATTGATTCATTATTTCTGTCATTTTATAAATGTCATTTTATTAATATTTAATATTAATTTCATATATACATATATACTTTTGTAGTAATTTATTTTATGTATTTCAAACTTATTCCATAATTCTGTACCTCTGCAGCTACTAGTTTTATGTGTCAGTTGATGATTCGTGAGGGCCATCGTACTGTTCTGTGCTGTCTATTCCTGTTATATGTTATGTGCTACTGATTGGATGGCACGAGTTAGAATTCCTATGTACTAATGTAGAGAAGGCTGGTAAAGAATCCGCAATCTTCAGGAAATGCCCCCCATCATTAGTGCCCAGGACAGACCCCAGATAGCTGGCTCCATACTTGGATAAGGGCTCATTGAAAATTGGTTAATGGATAAACATAGGCCATTGATATGTGTGTGGCTCAGTGGGCTAAGCCTGTGTGCTTGTAATCACAAGGTTGCAGGTTCAAACCCAGCCTCAGCATGTCTGTGGGTCCTTAACCCCCAGCTCTCTGGTGGCTGCTCTTTGCGGACAGCTTGCTTACAAAGAGCAAGTTGAGGGAGGTGTAAAGACAATTTCCCCATGGGGATTAATAAAGTGCTGATTATTATTACCAAGAGTATGTACACATACACGTAAACACATGTTAAGACATGCGTGTGAGCTGCAGTGAAGATGCCGGTTACATGTCTGAACTAGAGATGTGTCACAAGTAGGGTGACCTAATCCATGTCAGAGGGGACACTAGGAGCTACGTCAGGCTTTACATACCACTTTCAAACTGAAAGGCTCCTGTCCTTGGTTAAATAGTTCAATTCTTCTTGATTGAAAGACTCGTCCAGCTGTTTCACATTAACATTAGTGACACAGGTATGATTATAGGAGACTGACCAATTAGCACACAGCAAGAACCCAGTGCTCAAGTGAAATCCAGGTCCTTTTAATTGAAATGGTCGTCTACAAACCCTTTCCTAGCTCACAGTTTCCCCCCCGACATGGTTTAGGTGGATACCCTCGTCGTATGGTAAATACGCTAAATCAAGCCGGATGCAGTCAAGAGCACCAGATGGACAACATGGGATTCAAAACCATCTCATTGTTTCCATAACGGCACGAAAAGGGATTCTCACGGCTTACTGGTGGACTTATGTGTTTAGGAGCAAAGCCGTCATGCTTTGTGTCTACAGACACAGACGCGGAAACACCCACAGGAAATAACGTTTTTTTCCCCCCTTTCTATATCAAGCTTGTGTTGCTGCCATCAACTCTGTGGCAGGATGGACCCAGATTCACCCATTACCACAGTGGCTGTCACTTCTGTCCTGCGTCATAGAGGCATAATCATACACTTTAACTTCACGGAGGTGCTGGATCCCCTTCATCCTGACAGCTCGCGCCATCGGGTGGGGAACACACAGCCAGTTCCGGTCTGGGACAGCTGGGACAGCTGGGACAGCTGGGACGATGTGCCGCGGATGAAGGCCTTTCACAATCCA